TGCTGGAATATTACTTCCTCTTTGTTGCTTCTTCCTTCATCTAATGAGTGAGCTGACTAAAAAAAAAAAAAAAAAAAATTCAATGGCCAAAGCTGAAAATTTTGAATAGTGTAATAGTGTTAGATTTAAAAAAAAAAAAAAACAAGCAAGCAGACCTGCCACCATTCTAACAAGCTGAGCTCAATTCTGGGTGCTGCACAGTAGAAGGGATGGACTTTTGCAAGTTGTCCCCTGACAGCACCTCCATACTCGTGCTGTGGCACCGCCCCACCCCCAAAGTGAATCCATTCCAATAAGGTAAAGGATAAACTATATCAGTGAGTGAGGAAGAAGAGAGCAAATGTCCAATCCAGAAGAATCCCAGCAAAAACATCCCAAGGTTCCACCCTCCTTCTCCTGAAGGTGGGGCAGATCTCAGCATGCACAGCCAGAGCCTCTTCTTCCTGAAAAGAGAGAGAGGCTCTATGTAGTGGAGGCCTTGCTGGCAGCCCAGTGATGACACCCAGGGACAAGTCATGTGGATGGTGGGGACCTGTATGGGAGGTTAGGAGAGGGCTGTCTTCTTCCATAACCAATGACTCCCATCTAACACTGAAAAATAAAGTAAAAGGGACATTTCCCAGCTCAGGGCCCTCCACAGGACACCCGAGCAGCCACCTCAGATCTCATGGTTGCAGCAGAGACAGTGAGAAGTTGCTCTAGCCCAGAAGAGCCTTGGGAGGCAGGATGCAGGTCATGTGGGATCCTGGATGAGCCTTGGGCCAGAGAAGGACAGGCAGGGACACAGGAGATGGGTAATTGACAGCAATACATCAATACTGGGTGACAGCTGCCTCTCACCATTGTCACATGTTGCTGTGAAACATATTTGATTTCCTGGTCCAAAGCTCCTACAGATGCCCAGCCTGTGGTCCTGTGGTCTGCATGTGACCGAGGAGAGCTAGTTATCCTATGTGCGACTGAACATAAAAATTGTGAGTATACTAAGAACATTATTTTTCACAATTTTTTGTGTGCACTCACACACATGCAAAAGCCAAAAGCCAACTTTAGGTGTCTTCCTTGATTACTCTCCATCTTCTTTTTCCTTTTCTTTTAGATTATTTTCATTTTATGTGTTTGGGTATTTTGCCTGCACATATATGGTGCAGTACCTGAAGAGGACAGAAGAGGGCGTGAGATCCTCTGGAACTGGCATTACAGTCAGCTGTGTGCCTTCATAAGCATCCTAGGAACCAAGCCTGATTCCTTGGGAAGAGGCTCCAGTGCTCTTAACCGCAGAGCCATCTGTCCAGCCCCTCACAGCTAACTTTTAAGATGAAGTGTAGGGATCAAATTCAGGTCCTCATTGTTCGTTGATCAGTTCGCTAACTGAGCCAGCCCTGTAGGGCTTTTGGTTTAGTTGAAACTTGATCGTGAACTTTGTAGGTGACAGTGTTGGTCCTGATGTCTAGAAGTTGGACACACCTTTTAGAATCCCCAGTGTGACAGAAGCAGCCTTCGTGGGTTGGCTACTGGTTCTGGCATCCAGGTTGCCTTAGGGTGGGGATGTTCACCAGGAAGTTCAAGCTAGGGCAGAGAGTTTGGGGATCTCAGTCCCACCCCTTACCCAGCCTCCATGTAGTGGGGAGCAACTGGAGTCCCGTGATGGCATCAGCCCAACTGCACCTTAAAACCACAGTTAGTAAAGGACAGTATAGGAGTATCCAAACTGCTGACCACGGGAGGTGCCAGGGGGCAGTGGGCCTGAAGGTGACATGGAGGCATCCCCTTCCAGGTGCCTCACCTCGAGGCTCTCTGGTCTGGTGGCTGTGGTCGCCCTTCATCATGGCCTTTATAATAAAGTAGTGGGCAGGTGTAAGGCAGCGCTGCCCTGAGTTCTATGAGCTACTCCAGCAAGTGACCCAGAACCAAGGAGGGGCCTGCAGGAGCTCTCGACTTACAGGCCACAGTCTGGAGCTGTGATTGGCTGCTGCAGGGGGCTGGGTTGTGCACTCTGACTGGGTGCAGCTTTCAGCTTTGGGATCTAATGCTGTCTCTAGGCAGGCCATGCAGAATCAGATGTAATTGGGAAACCCAGTCAGTGTATGCCGGAGAAATGCTTGGTCTGTGGGGGCCACCCTCATGCACCAGGTTACAGATGCGCCACATACTGACAGTGCAGGAAGGATGCAGCTCTTTTTTCCCCCTGGTCTGTCCTCCCAGATGGCAGTAGAGGCTGTGAGAGGGTCGTTGTGAGCTCTGGCATAACCCGGCATTTCTATAAGCCCAGACAACTCTACAAAGGTAATTTCATTTCAAAGCCTGTTTGTGTGAGCCCCAGATTGTGTCACTAAGCCCTGCCCTCTTGGTCTTCCCCCAAACCTTTCCTTCCCACTGCTCCTTCTCCATCAGAGAGGGGAGAGGACAACACTTGCCAGCTGGTGTCCACCACCCACTTGTCCTCCCCTCCCCTCAAGCCAGTGCTCATCTGTGCGATGCTTCATTGGTTCCTGTGTAGCTTTCTTTCACTAATGCCTCAGTTTACCTACACAGTTGCCTCCGGGAACCCTGGTGGGATGGGGGACTTTGGCCTTAAGAGCAGGCTCCCGCAACTTGAAGACTATTGCCTGGGCCAAAGAAGTAATCTCCTCTTTTGTCCTCTTAAGAGCCACCTTGAGGGAGGTGTGACAGAAGAAACTCCTGTCGGCTCCTTGGGGCTAGCAGAGTGGGACCATCCCAGCCTGCACCTGACATCTGAGGTCCTGGTAGGGTAGGGTGGGTGACACACAGCCCTTCCCACTCCAGGAGGCCAGCTTGTCTGTTACCTAGGTGCATGGGGGGGGGGGTCTCCAAACCTGAGGGGACTGTTAGGGAGCCTAACCTGGGAGTAGCCTGACTTTTGCCTTTGTCCCGACTCTGAAACTGTCCACTCCGGTGAGAGTGAGATATGTTAGGGGCTGCCTTCTACCCGCAGCTGAGCCCAGGGGTCTCTTGCTTTCTGCTTCTGGTGTCTGGTCACTATTTCCCATTCAGTCTGTACTCACACCTGCCCCAGTAGTGGACACCAAGGCCAGCCCTGCTCCACCCCTCCCTGTCCTCCCTCCCTCCTCATCAGTGGGGTCCAGCTCACCCTGCAGGCTGCAGCTGTCCTCCCTGAGGGGAGGTGTCCAAGGTCCATGACCCCCTTCCCAGGCTCCAGGATCCCTTTAAGGAAGCACATTCCTCTACTCCATGCTGTCCCGTTCTTTAGTGTAAGGAAGAGTCTTGCAGTCTTACCTGGGTTACCTATGATGGTGAAGAAGAGAAAGGGCCGGTGCTCGGGGTACCTGGGAGGGCTGTTATTGGGGTGACCCCTGGACCTCCTCCAGGCTCCAGTGTCACCGGAAAACCAGGCAGAAACTCATCAACTGAAGTCATGTTTGTTCCTCTGTCGTGGTGTTCCCAGCATAATGACTGTAACTCCCCAACCCCACCTGACCAGTCTTGTATCTTCTTATACCGAGTCTCTGGGATTAGAGATCAGATATCGATGAGTTGGCTCTGGTTGGCAGCAGTGAGTTGAACAGTCAAAGCTCTAGATGTGATTGAAGGTATCAAGGGCTAAGTAGAAGGGCCAAGACCCAGAGACTCTCAGCTCTGTCATACCAGGGCTTGCAGAGACTGCCAGAACCAAGTTTAGGTAATCACCCTGAAGGTTTGGCCCTCTTGACCCTAGCTGTGGCACTGAAGGCTGGAGTCTCCTTAAGAGGTTACTCTGAGTACTGAGAAGTAGGAAGGAGCCTACTAGGGTTGTCTCTGCCTCCTAGAGGCCACAGGCACACAGAGAGTGCAGTCCTGTCCCAGTCAATGTGCTTGTTCACACTGGGCTTTCATGGTGACCTTAGCCAACCACTGTTCCTGTCTTAAGTCAATGTGATATAAACTTATGATGTTTTATTTCATTTCATTCTTGACACAGGGCCTTTGAATATAGTTCTGACTGGTTTGGAAACACATACATAGTTCAGGCTGGTTTTGAACTCTATCCTTTGCCTCTGTCTGCCAAGGGTTGGGTTTACAGGCATAAACAACTGTGCTCAATCAAATCCTGACATTTCAAACCCCAGAATCAGTAATGAGGCAGACATAAGAGGGGTGGCTGGTCAGGGTGGGTTCTGGGCTGGGAGAACTGAGACCTTTATGGAAGACAGACAAGAGGAACCTTTGCCAGGACAAGGCTTGGAACCCCTGGGCCTATTGCTAATGTGGCGTCTGTGGTGGACAGTGGTTAGGGACTCCTGGCCTGTAGATACCTGTGCCTGCTCAGTTGGCCATGGCATCTCCAAGACTGAAGGACTGGCACTGGAGTCAGCTGACAGCACTAATGAGGAGCTTCAGGCCCCGCCCCCTGGCAGCACTCACACAAGCCCTGACTCTGCCAAGACCCAGTTCAGTATCCTAGACTGAGAAAGGGTCTTGCTCTGCTAGACAATCTCGTATTCCTCTTTCTTCCAGCCTCCTAAAGGAACCTGCAGCCATTCCCTGGTGCCTTTGCTTGGGGAAAGAGAAATAGTTAGGATTTGGGGATGTTTCTGGACCATTTCTTGGTACTCACAGCATCTGAGACAGAGGCATCTCAGTGTCTCCTGGCTGCAGCCGGGACATTGGAGTGACAGGCGCGTGTGCAGGTGGAGGTTGCTCATCTCATCATGGACACGAAGCAAAGACAAGAGGGGCCTGGTGAAGAGTCATGTTCTCCAAGGAATTCCCCTAATGGCCTCCTTCCTTCAGCCGAGCTCCCTGGTCTAGCGTTCCCACCTTCAATAATAGCACCACCTACTGGGGTCTAAGTGCTTACCACGTGGGCCAGTGTCAGGAACTTCACACCATCCAGCACTGACATACTGTCTTTCTGCACTGTGCCATGTGGCATTCCCACCAGCAGTGATGTGATGTCCCCACACTATCAGGTATTGTCAGTTTTCCTGACTTTGGCCATCATCGTGGTCAGTGATGGTTCCTTATTGTTTGAATTGCAGTTCTCCAATTCTGTGAGATGTTGAAAATCTGCTTGTCTGACACCTACAGGTAAGGCACCTACCTCACTCACCTTTGGTGGGGCGTCTACATCTTTTAAATAATTTTTTATTATTGATATTAATATTAATTGATATTAATATTAATATTGATATTAAGAGTTCTTTGTATATTTGGAATAGGGGTCCTTTATCATATAAAATACTTTGACGATGCTGGACAGATGGATCAGTGGTTAAGAACACTTACCTCTCTTACAGAGGGCCCAGCTTCAGTTTCCAGCAGCCATCTGGTGGCTCAAACCCATCGGTAACTCTAACTCCAGGGGATCCAATGCCCTTTTCTGGCCTCCATAGGCACCAGGCATGCATGTGGTACATATATATATATACATGGACATCAAACTCTCATACATAAAAATAAATAAATCTTTTTTAAAAATTTGCAAAGTTATTTTCCCAGTCTGTGGCTTCTCTTTTTGTCCTCCTCCTCTTCTAAAAATATTTACTTATTTGTGTATATGTCTGTGTGAGTATATGCACACTTGTGTGTGGAGGGGTGCACACACCAATGCCTATATGCAGAGGCCAGGAGAGGATATAAGGTGTCTTTGTATATCACTCTCCACCTGTTCCTTTGAAGCAGAGGCTCTCTTCCTGAGCCTGTGGTTTGTGTTTTCTCAGCTAGGTTGGGAACCAGGAAGCCCCAGTGATCCTCCTGCTTCTGATCCCCTCAGAGCTGGGTCACAGGTGTACACAGAATTCTCAAGTTAACATGTGAATGCTGGGATCTGAACTCTGGTCCTTTTGATTGCTCAGTGTGTCCTCTTAACAGTTGAGCCATCTCACCAGCTTCCCGTAACCCTGGCCCTCTCTGTTTGGCACAGGTCTCCTGTATCCCAGGCTGGCCTTGAGCTCACTGACTTGCTGAGGATGACCTTGGACTTCACCTGTCCCTATCTCCCAAATGCTGGGATCACAGGTACATGTTATCATATCCAGTTCCTTTTCTTCTTTTAGCAATATTTCTGCAAAGGAGATGTGTTGTTTGGGTGTGAAATGCCTCCCACAGGCCCATGTATTTGAACACCTAGTTCCCACCTGGGGCATTGTTTTGGGAAGGTTGCAGCTTCAGGAGGTACGTCCTCCTTGGAGGCAGTAGGACACTGTGGGATGGACATAGAGGACCATAGCATGGCCTCACTTTCTAACCTGTCTCTGTTTCCTGATCCACAGAGAAGTGAGCACTGTTCTCTGTTCCACTGCTGAAGCTACGAGTTGTTCCCTCTGCCGTGATGGACTGGAAGCCCACACAAATGGTTCCTTCCTCCAGTTGTTTCTATCAGGCATTTTGACATAGCAACAGCTGAGGTGACTAATACAACAGAAGCTTTCAATTTAACAAAGTCCAACTTATTGGCTGTGGAGCTGGTGAATGCACTGGGTTTCTTTGTACATCTTAATAAAACTTACCAGAAACCTGTTGTCTTCAGCTACTAAGAAACACACTAGTCTGTCCCACCTCAGAGGCTTGGGAACACCTTGTCATATTCCAGCCCTAGGGATCCAAATTGACTTCTCTTCCTATGAGCATCTTGCTGCTCTGCTGCTCCAAACACAGAGCTGTGCTTCCTGAGCCATCTGAGCAGGAAGTTGTAGGCATCTGTCCTGGGTTTTTTTCTTTGGCTGTTATTCTCTACTATCACACAGTTCAGAAGCCCCTATCATAGGGAATGGTGCTGCCCATGGTGGGCCGGGTCTTCCCATAATTACCTTAATTAAGACAGGTCCCCACAGACATGCTCTCAGGTCAGTCCAAAGTAGGCAACCCCTCGCTGAGACTCTCTTCCCAGGTGACAACTCTAGGTTGTATCAAGTTGACATTTAATGTTGACCTTCATGATCTCTAAAGATGACTTGGCCACGTGGTGTGTGTTTGAAGGTCAGGTGATCAAATCCCACATGATTTGGGGGAGGCTTCTGCCTTGATGATATTGCTACACTGCAGTGGCCTGGGTCAAGTGGAGAACTGCTTAGGGTACTTTCTATTGTGTAAGATACAGCACAGGGCCTTGCGGCTCTCTTTGGATTTTACAGTTATCGGATACATGATATCAAGTGACCCACAGGGATGTCACTTTTCAATGAGGCCCAGTGTATTAAGTGTAAACCGGCCCCCATAATCTCATAGGGAGTGGCACTATCAAGAAGCACAGCTTTGTTGCTGTGGGTGTGGCCTTTTTAAAGGATGTGAGTCACTGTAGGGGTGAGCTTTAAGATTTTCTATGCTCAGGATACCACCCAATGTCACAGTCAACTTCCTGTTGCCTGCAAGATGTAGCATTTTCAGCTCCAGTATCCCGTCTGCCTGCCACCATGCTCTCTGTCATGACGATAATGAGCCAGAGCTCTGAACCTGTAAGTGGTCCCCTTCAATTACGTGTTTTCTTTGAAAGAGTTGCCGTAGTCATGGTGTCCTTTCACATCAATGGAAAACTAAGACACCCAGACAAGAAGAGGCCCAGGCTGCTGTGCAACCTTCTTAGCTGTGTGAGTGTTTCTGAGCATCAGAGTCACGATGTGCAAGGTGCCTGCGGGAGGTAGGAAGTTCTGTGGGGGCCATTCCGGCTCCTGCAGGGACTTCACAGTCGACCACCTTGGTCTATGGAGCTGAGCCCTGCCATCCCCCATGGATACTTCCTCAGATCCTGGATTGCCCCTAGGCTTTACAGAACATCTGGCCATGTGACACCAACTGGCCACATGACCTGAACTGCATGTATAAATGAGCTATGAAATGACCCATGATTCAATGGGTTGGGGGACACAGGTGTGCTTCAGCATTTCGTAGAGGCAGTGGGTGCAGGGCAGCCTGATAACCACCAACTCTGCTAGTCACTTCACTCATTCCTGAAACAGATGTTTCACAAAAGCAACCGAAGGAGAAAAGGTTCATTCGGACAGTCCGTCATAGTGAGGAAGGCAGCTCGCAGGGCTGCGCGCACAGTTGCGAAACAGATTGAGAAGAATGCCGGTGCTCAGCTTTCCTGCTTTCTATCCATCCCGATAACCCAGGCTACGAGATGGTGCCACCTACATTTAGGGTGAGCCTTTGCACCTCAACTAACCCAATCTAGAAAATCCCCAACAAATATGCCCTAAAGTTTGTTTCCATGGTGATTCTAAATCCCATTAGGTTGACAGTCAAGACTGACCATTGCGTACTTCAAAGCTCCATGGAGTTCCATAAAGAGCTCCCATGATGCCAGTGGCTTGTTCCTGCTTCTTTGGCAGCCCCTCCCAGCAGCACCTGTCCTTCATATGTCATTTCCTGGTACCCAGTCACTGAGAAAGAAAAAGTCTTGCCCTGGCTTCCAGTAGCTTTGCATGGCACGTCAGCCCAATCCCAAAGTGAGAAGGTAACCTGCAGCCTCCTGTCGGGAATGGGAGGAAGGCTACACCCCAGCAGGCGAGGCTCAGCACAGTCACCCTGGTTGCTCTACTTGACCTGGAAGGAGAGATCAGGGTTATAGGTTCCACCATTTGGTGGCTGTCGGCCCATATTTCTGTATGGCACAAAAGCCATAGGCCCAGTCTGAGCTGATCAGTAGCTCTGCAGACAAGCTGTCTCTGCCTAACAATAGCAAGGATGTACTTGTTAGAAATGTAGATCTCCTGAGGAGAGGTGTTTACTGAAACTGGTCAGGATGTTTGGTGCTTCCTTCCTTTGTAATTTGGAGGATGTCTTATAGAGATGCTAATTCATGGCCTACCTGACTGCTAGATGTGGATGTGACCTGAGCCCAGGCACCTGGTTGCCTAGGAGACAGCCTAATGTGTTCCCACTCTATTGATGTGAGGATATATAAGCTGTTTGAAGAATAAATGAGAGATCTCTTTTGGAGAGAGATCTTGCCCGTAAAAGATGACCGTGTAAGTTGTGTCTGATTATTCCTCGCGACTCCATTCCAGTCTAGTTAGGGAATCCGTGTTGGACCCACACGGGCTCCGACAGGTGGCCAGTCGGTCATGATGCTCAAAGAACTGAAAGGCAAGCATTTGAAAAAGGTGGTAGCAGGAGGCTGAGGAAAGGGCTGGACCTCTCCCAGGGTCTCCCAGGGTGCAGAGCACAGGATGTGAAGAAGCATATGTCCCTTATAGATGTTGGTCACAGAAATAAACCTCTGGGCTGAATGGAGGTCCATAGTGGATGAGAGGACCTAGTCAGTGGCCGCCAGCCAGCCTTTCCCCTGGATGTCCCTGTCAGTCCCCAAAGGGTTTGAGAATGGTATGGCACAGTACATGGGTGTCCACTCATCGAGGTCCATCTGCTAGGTTCCCTGCCTGGCACACACTGCTGGGTGATGTTGGAGTACTGCCATCATGGGGGTACCCCTCTGCTGCCACTGGCACCAAGGCAAACCTGAATATGAACTGGCTCTCCTGACCTAGGGTACCTTCACAGCCTGCTTGACTCCCTGCTGTGTGTCACAGGGCTTTCTTACGGGCAGGGACTTGGCCATAAAGCAGAGAGTGCAAGCTCAGAGAACTGCCATCTTTCACAGGCTCCCCATCCCTGGTCTGAGGACACTGAGGAGCCGGAACAATATCCTCTGAACCCATCCATGTGCTCGTGTCCCTGTAGCCACTGCTCATGGTCCTGGCAATCCAGAGGTTAACGCATCAATGATATTCTTGTTCCCCAGTGAAAGTCCATCAGTGACTGGCAGATTGAACCCAAGGCTCTTGCACGTAGCAGGCAAGCACTTTGCTACCAAGTTATATCCTAGCCCTTTGCCAGTAGCATTTATCTCCCTGTCCCCACTAGTCTAGATCCTCTTGATCAAGACCTCTGCCAATAGGTGCTAAACTAATCCCAGTACCCTGGAGGCTGAGGTGACCATAGGTCCACTTTGAGGTACTCCTGTGAGAGAATCTCCAGGCTGCAAGGGGCTGATTTTTTTTTTTAATTTATTTATTTATTAAAGATTTCTGTCTCTTCCCCTCCACCGCCTCCCATTTCCCTCCCCCTCCCCCAATCAAGTCCCCCTCCCTCGTCAGCCCAAAGAGCAATCAGGGTTTCCTGCCCTGTGGGAAGTCCAAGGACCACCCACCTCCATCCAGGTCTAGTAAGGTGAGCATCCAAACTGCCTAGGCTCCCACAAAACCAATAGGTGCAGTAGGATCAAAAACCCATTGCCATTGTTCTTGAGGTCTCAGTAGTCCTCATTGTCCGCTATGTTCAGCGAGACCGGTTTTAACCCAGGCTTTTTCAGACCCAGGCCAGCTGGCCTTGGTGAGTTCCCGATAGAACATCCCCATTGTCTCAGTGTGTGGGTGCACCCCTCGCGGTCCTGAGTTCCTTGCTCGTGCTCGCTCTCCTTCTGCTCCTGATTTGGACCTTGAGATTTCAGTCCGGTGCTCCAATGTGGGTCTCTGTCTCTGTCTCCTTTCATCACCTGATGAAGGTTAATATTCAGGAGGATGCCTATATGTTTTTCTTTGGGTTCTCCTTCTTATTTAGCTTCTCTAGGATCACTAATTATAGGCTCAATGTCCTTTATTTATGGCTAGAAACCAAATATGAGTGAGTACATCCCATGTTCCTCTTTTTGGGTCTGGCTTACCTCACTCAGGATAGTGTTTTCTATTTCCGTCCATTTGTATGCAAAATTCAAGAGGTCCTTGTTTTTTACTGCTGAGTAGTACTCTAATATGTATATATTCCATACTTTCTTCATCCATTCTTCCATTGAAGGGCATCTAGGTTGTTTCCAAGTTCTGGCTATTACAAACAATGCTGCTATGAACATAGTTGAGCATATACTTCTGTTGTATGATAAGGCCTCTCTTGGGTATATTCCCAAGAGTGGTATTGCTGGATCCAGGGGTAGGTTGATCCCGAATTTCCTGAGAAACTGCCATACTGCTTTCCAAAGTGGTTGCACAAGTTTGCATTCCCACCAGCAATGGATGAGTGTAAAGGGGCTGATTGTTTACGGGCTGGTGTAGCTGCCCTGACCAGGGGAGACAGGCTGTGGTTCCACAACAGAAAGTCTAGAACATAGATGATGACCTGCAACTCTGGTCCCAGTGATTAACATCAGTGGAAAGATTCTACTGCCCAATCCAGGCTGGACCGCCGAGGGCCCAGACCCTTCGGGAATGAAGGCTTAGGTCACCCACCAGGTAAAGGGCCACAATCAGCCAAGGCACAGGCTGAAGGAAAGAGACATGCAGGAAAATGGTTATAAATACCAGCCAGACCATGTGACCGGTTGCAGCTCTGAGCCTGTGAGGGCTATGGAATCCTTCCCTATGCTGTGAGCAAGTAGGACGGAATGATGACTCTTCCTTCCCCTCCTCTAGACTGCTGCACCTAGTATTTATGATTTCCTAGATGCTACCTTTCTCTTGCAGGATTTACTGCTCCAGCTGCAGCTCAGCCAGAAGGGGGATGGGTACCATCCCTGCCCTCTCTGTGGGGGTGGGGATGCACACCTGGCTGTGCAGTCCCAGCTGTCCGTTAGGTGAAAGTGGAACTTTGCTTTGTTTTATCCAGAAGTTTCACCAAAGGGTTCCGTTTATGTAAGAAACCCAGAAGAGCCAGGTTCTTAGAGAAGGAAGTGGCTTCCTGGAGCTAGGGGGGAATAAAGGGAGGAGTGGGTGCTAATGGGAAGATTGGGGCCTGTGTGCTGGGAATATTCTAACATCACATAATGGTGGTTGTCTAGTGGAGTTACTGAAAAGGACGGAACTTTGCTAAGAGCAAATCAGATCCCATGTCATTTACATGCAATGAAGTATTTTCTTTTCATAGAGAAGTATCTGTGGATGCCGGGAGAGATGGGGTCTGCATGGTACCACCTTCTCTGAGCTGAAAGTGGCAGCCCTGAGTGCGGAGGTGAAGGGGCGACCATCCTCTTTAGGTCTCACATTTGTCTTGGCCTGCCCACCTAGAACCCATCCCTGAAGTCTTGGGTACTGGCCTCCTCCTGTGCTATTCATGGGTCAGAGCTGGGCAGTTGTCTGCCATAGGTTAATCCAGATTTCCTGGGAGCCCAACATCATAGGGGACCTCCTGTTTCCCAATTCTCATCCCCTGGGACCCCAACTGGTCACTGTGTACTGTGCCCAGTCAGGACATATTCCATGAGCTCCTGGCCCCCAAGTCTAGCAAGGCTCTCTGTCTTGGCCCTAATTCCTCCCCATGAAGTGCCTGGGTGGCATCTGTCCCCAGCTCTGGTTACTAGAATATGACCATTCTCCATCTTCTTCTTGTTCGATTCTTTCAGAAACAAGGAAATTCCTCAAGCTGCCTTTTCTCTTCCTGCTTCTTCGATGGCATAGCCAGCTCCATGGGCCGTAGTCTCATGCTCTCCGTACACTCTTCCTGTCCTCATCCTCTCCCATCTCATCTGCAGACTACAGCAGAAGCCTGAGGTCAGCAGAGACCCCCATCCAGTCCTAGCAGCCTCTACAGACATGCCTGTGTACAACCTGCACACACTGTGGTAAAGTGCACAACACTGCACCGTCTAAATGACAGCTCGGCGGTGTTCACCTCCTGCTTGCATCTTTCCCCATGAAGCACGGACTCTCTGTCCCTCCTCAGCACCCATCATCCCACCCTGTTTTCTGTTTCTGTGGATCTGGGGTCTCCAGGGACCTCAGGAGAGGGATCCTATATCACGTCCCTGTGGTAGACTTCTTTCCCTGAGCAGTGTCTGGAACATTCTGTGCTCCACACCTTCCCCTTTGCCTGTGCAGGCTATCATTTCTGCTCACCTTCCCCCAGAAGTCTTCTTCCACACTTACTGGTCTGTCCCTCCCTCACCTAATCTTTCTACATAACAGTATGACCATTTTAAGCTGGCATTAGGAGCCAGCATGGTGATCTTGCCCAGACTGTGTTTCTATCCCCCAATTAGTACTGTAGATCCTGTCTCTCAGGGATCTGAGGAAAAGCCTGCAACCAACCAGATACTAAAGACTGTGTTGTTGTGGGTCTGTGTTCATTCATATATCCATGCCTGCATGTTCGTGTGCACACATATGTAAGTGTTTCTGCGCTCCATACATATGCATATGCATGTATGTGTGCAGGCATTTATAGATGTGTGCATGCCTTCATACATGTATGCATTCCTGCCTGGTTTCATGTGTATGTGCCCAGGCGCATGTATATTTATACCTGTGTGCAAACCTGTCTGCATGTTTGTAGGGTATTATGTGTAGGTGTGTATGTGTATGCACCTTTTTACATGTGGTGTGTGCATATATGTGGGTAGGTAGGCACATGTGTGTGCACTGTACTGTCCTTGTTTTGCATTGCACCGTGGCTGGTGTGCACGTGGATGTACGTGCATGTACATGCTGATGAACGGCCAGAGGCAATGACAGGGGCCAGGAGTTGGAGGAAGCGTCACTACTCCCCACCCCCTAAGCCCTGCCAGTGGCCTTGTAGTCATTGCTGACCGCTTCACCAAAGGAATGCATAGCAGCAGCCATGATGGCTGGGGGAAAGCAGGGAAAACTAGGAACTCCTGCCTGTCAGCAGCAGCGGGTCCTGATAGACTAAGAGCCATAGCCCACAGGTCAGCCCCCAGCCTTGCTTCCTTCACCTGGCTGCTCTCATCTTAGAGTCACCCCTTGGACAGATGAGGCCTCTGAAGGTTTCATTGTTTCAGTCTATGAAATAAAACCGACGGTAGACAAAATGACTGAGAGACTCGTGACACATTTGCTACGATGCCTAAGCATGAGAGTCACATGCGTCCAACAGAGACACGAAGGATGCAGACTGTTCATCTTGGTCTGCTTCCTGAAGCTATAA